GGATTTTCAGCGGATCCAAGTCGCTGAGGTTTCAGCAAAGCAAGGATTCTACGGATACAGCTCTAACCATAACAAGCATGCCCACCCTGCAGCTCCCCTTCATTGACAGATGGAAACGCTGAAGGACAAAGAGATGTTTCATAATCCACTTTGCAAGCCAGCTCTGCCTTCCCGCAGAGACCAGAAATAGGATGCTAATTAGGCAGATCCCTCTTGGGATTCTAAGGTGCTCTTTTAAATGAGAGTCCCCGACACCACCTTTGAACTCACTAAAAACTCATCTCCAGAGAGGGAAGCATCACAATGTGAGAAGAAGTATAATGGACTAAGATCTGAAAGACAGCACTGCAAATCGCAGAACTTTAGAACAAAACGGAAGGCTAGCCGTGGCTTCCCTGACCGTTGCCATTTCTTACGACTGCCTGAGAATGAGAACACCACAGTTCTGGTTTCACTCTGGGTTCTGACTCCCCCCCCCCCGCACTGAAACTGATGCTAAAACAAGCTTGCTCTCTTTCTTGAGATTCCGGCTCCCCATCTTGCAATAGGTAAAAGCAGCAAACTCCCACAGGGAATTTATTCCCTTTGCTCTTTCTTCTTCCTTCACAGCAGCCTGGACAGAGGTGTCTTGATGAAGGGAAGGAATACCTAACAAAGGCCTTGGACCCAATGAGCAACTCACTCTCCAAGTCATATAATCCTACAATCATGAAGTTGGAAGCGCCCCCCCCCCAGGGCCACCGAGCCCAAGCCCCTGCTCAAGGCAGGACTACAAATCAAAGGATCAAACCCAAGTCACTTTAGTTCATTCCAAACTCCAGCTCTCCTTATAACTCTTTTTACAGGGATACTCTGCAGCTAGCAACTACAAATGTGGCAACAAAATACTAATAATAGTTGTGTGCCATCAAATCTATTCTAAGGGTTTTCCAGGTCGGCACCGAGCCCAAGCCCCTGCTCAAGGCAGGACTACAAATCAAAGGATCAAACCCAAGTCACTTTAGTTCATTCCAAACTCCAGCTCTCCTTATAACTCTTTTTACAGGGATACTCTGCAGCTAGCAACTACAAATGTGGCAACAAAATACTAATAATAGTTGTGTGCCATCAAATCTATTCTAAGGGTTTTCCAGGTCAGGAGTACTCAGAACTGGTTTCCCATTCTCTTCTTCTGGGAGAGAACCTGGAACTGTGCAGCTTGCCCAAGGCTACCCAGGCTGGCTCTACTCGTAAGACGGAGTACTCAGAAGTGGTTTCCCATTCTCTTCTTCTGGGAGAGAACCTGGAACTGTGCAGCTTGCCCAAGTCTACCCAGGCTGGCTCTACTCGTAAGAGGGCACAGTGGGGAACTGGTTACACAGCCAGATACCTAACTCACTGAGCTATCCAGTCAACTCGGCAATAAAATACAGTACTGCATTTTTTTAAAAAAAAAACACCAGTTAGGCAGGGCTTCAAAAGTCTTGTACATCCAGCCCACCTATCTTCAGGACTGGTGCATAAATATGCACATCCTACCTAGCAGATATTCTGAGCAGATCCCACTGGGTAGAACACAAATAGACGGTCTGACTGATGTCTTCATTCCAAGGTGCTCTGCTCACCGACCCACAGCTCAAAACCACAGATGGATTCTATGCTACAAGGCCGGGTTGCCCAGCCTTCAAACCTGGCCAAGAGAGAGTCATGCTCCAAGACACCCTAAGCAGCGAAGACGAATGTTCGGTGCACCTACCAGCTCCTCCCTGCTGTTGCTCTGCTGCCAGCTGTCCCATGTCTGCACCTACACGGCCCAGCTGAGCTTGGACCTCAACACCCACTAAATTAAATAATGTTTTGGAGACCCGTCTTTATCTTCTCTTCGTATCTCACCATCTCTTTACTTAAACCAATAGTCACTTTGCTGAAACTCTTTCGAAGCATGCTTCCTAATTAGTATCTTGTTCTTATGGGCTGTCAAGTCAGAACCGACTTATAGTCACCCTAATAGGGTTCTCAAGGTATGTGAGGTATTTATAAAGTGGTTTCACCAGTTCTACACATCTCCCAGTGACTTTCCATGGCAGACAGAGAGGGAATCAAAGCCAGGCCTCCTGACTCCTATTCCATGACTCCATCCACTACTACAGCACACTAGGTACCTCACTTTGTACCTACTTATGTACAAAGAATTAGGTCACTGCCGTGTTTCTCCCCAAAATAAGACAGGGTCTTATGTAATATCTTGTCTACTGACAGAGACATCGCTCAGCAAAAGATAAAAAAATATGTGCAGACCTTCTGTGCATAACACAATTCCACAACATTATTTTGCCTAAGGCAAGGGGCGGGGGGCCCCTCAAGGCACTCGGTTGGATCAGAAGACAGAGAAAAGATCAGGAAAGCAAGCAAGCAAGCTGACATGTGTAAGCATGCCCTGTTCCAGCAATTTCCCTTGGGAAAACGGCCTTCAGACAATTCAAGAGGGGGTGGGAAAGTTCTGGATAGGCATTTGGGCTGAAACCATGGAGCAAAATGCCTCAACAAGTCCATCTAACTCAGACAGGCCAGAATGCTCAACAGGAAGGGACAAGGGGCCTGACTCACATGCAAGAAAAATGTCCAGCACCTGAAGAGACCGCAGAGTATTCTAGCACTCCCTAGAAAGACGACGCTCAATTCACACTTTGTATTTTAAAAGCACAATGTTTGGGTCTTTGCATTTCTGGCTGCCTACCGAGAATGAGACACCTTTTTGCAGCTCTGAATTATGAATACATTCGGACAGGTATATACTTGCATTCACACAGCACTGGAGAGATTGCCCCTATTCTCCGGTGGAAATAATCTGAGGAAGTGCAAAAAATCAAAAGGGCACGAGGATTTCTAAAGCTGAGCTCCAAAAGTCAGCTTAAGAGTTTTATACCAAGGAGACAAGTAGAGGAAGGATTTCTTTCCAAACACCTTTTAAAAATGGTTAACGAGGAATCCTGCAAGATGTATTTTGTTCTTTTTCTTTTTTAAAAAAAGAAGATATCCTTTGAATCAATGGTTCAAATCTACAACCACAAGGTGACACCACACAAGTGTGAGGATGCCATCAGCTGTGGCCATATTCTGGACATGGAAAGTTTCCTATCCCCCTCTCACCAAGGTTCCTTTGCCTCCTTTCAGGTCTTTTTGGTTCTGGGGAGGCCTTGGGGGACGCGGGGCAGGGGGAAGGAAGTCTTAAATGTCTGAAGATCACAACCGCTGGCCCCGTTGCAGCTGCAGCAAGACAGGCTGACCTTTAAGACTCTACCCTCCCCAGGGGCCAAACGATGCTAAGGGGGCCGAGAAAACTCCGCGGCGAGCTGAGGGAACTTTTGATTAACACAATATGGCCACAATGGATGACAACCACAGACTTAGACGGCATTAACTTTCTATTGTGGGATTTCATCCAATGTCTTTTCTTCTTCTTCTTCTAAATTTGACTATTCAGTCCCCCTCCCTGTTGAAGAGAGGCTCCAGGTTTGTTCTTGGAACCATCATCATCATCGTTGTCATCACTCGCCATCTTAGAACTGCAGAGCTGGAAGACTCCACTTCCATTTTCAAGTAGAGAGGGGCTCCCCCAACCTTCCCCTGACTTCAGCATGTACGACAATCTCACAAAAGTGGCACCAGCCTTACTGCAATTTTGTAGTTTTAGCAACAGCCATTTGGAAAACTGTCTCAATGCTTATTCCTCTTGGCGGCTGCTTGCTCCCTCCTCACTCCACCCCAATACACAACAATAAACCCCCTACTTTTTTGTTTTTATTTTTTTGAGAATGTCCTTTTCATTTCTCCACTTCCTTCACAAACGCCCCCTGGGACAGACACTACAAACCAGGGTGCAGACGGATGAGAAGTGGCCATGGCAAACCCAGGGGCTGCACAGCCCTCTGAGGAAGCCATGAGGAGACCAGAAGCTCTCGTTTCGGCACCCAGTAACTTGGACTGATTCTCACAGTTCCAGATCTTGTCCAAAGCCAAAACTAGGGCTCATGTCAACTAGGGCTCGTCCAAACAGGTAAGCTTCTTTGCCTCTTTTTATCTGTCACAAGTCTCCCTCCATTCCGCTTCACTGGACTTCATCAGGCTGGGGTGGAGGAAAAGCTGAGGAGCCACCAGGGCTGCTCCACCAGCTCAGAGGAGGGAATGCTTGGCTTCCACTCTCCCTGAACTTGTCCAGTCCCAGATGGTCATTTAGGAGCCACTGTGTGACCTTAAGAATTGTGGACCACGTGCCCTTTTCCTACTAGTTTTCTCTCT